ATCTCTTCCCCAAGTGTAACCTAAACTTTCTTTGCTTTAAATTTTGATTCATCATCAAATATATCAAGATTTTGCTAGGTGATGCAATAGATGTTAGTGATGTCTGAATCAATCCAACTTAGTTTGGGTCCACGTGTGCATAGAGTCCGATGTGACCAAAAAGATGGGTTAAGCGTGTGAGAAATAGTCGAGCTGTACAAAAATAAAAATTGTATGAGGTGCTTGACAAAGCGTCTGCGAAATAGTTCTGAAATTATCGGTTCAGTTTTTCAAAATTAAAAATCTGAATCGAATCTCCTAGGACCAATTTCGATTCAAACGTTCGTTCCGGTTTGAACGATTAATTTATTATTTTTTAAATTGAAATAATTTAAAATATGATAAAAATTATAATTTTGTTTTTAAAATTTTACAAAATAGATGTATAACTATAATGAGTGTAAGGACATAATAAAGTTGATAAAAATAAAATTATAATTTTTTTAATCAAACTAAATGACTCTATCTATTATTGGGAAATCTATGGTAATATCACATGCGCAGCTAACAAAAAACAAAATCCTAGAATTTCCGTAGAAAAAATTTCTTATCGTGGTGCAAAAGTTGGTGCATAAAAACCCACGAAATCGAAAAACTATGCATTAGAGAATTACTTAGGGAGATCATATATCCCTGAATTTCTGCATATTTGTGGGACTGAATGATAGAGTTCAAATGTTCTCCTCTCTAGTGGTGATCCACATGGTAGGGGTTGCGAAAATGCTGCCCAAAACTCTTCCTCATGCGCACCACACAAGCAAGAAGAGGTTGCCCCTTCTTGCTATCCACATGCCCCAAATAAGGGCTACAGCGTAAGGAGGAGAGGGAGAGGGAGAGGGAGAGAGGAGAATAGGAGGTGGCAGCCAAAAAGAATCTAGCCCATGGCCTTTTAGTTTCCTCCTATTTATAGAGGCCCCTTATCAACTTAATCCTAATAGATCATGTCATAATGGGTACTAGATCTTTATCCAATTATTCAAGCATCTTAGATTAGTGGGTCTCTACCTAATAATCTGTTATTGGCTCTTATTAAATCTCATCCATAAGATCCAATAATTCAGGAGCTTATTGGACATCTAATAAGATATGAGCTCCAACGGATATCTCATATCGGAACATCTACTCATCGCAATACCTACCATATGTGTGTGACCCTCTAGGCCCAATATCGAGTTGGTCATAAGTGATACCTATCAGAACTCTTTCTGGCTTAGTAAATTATTATCTTCAAAATAATTTACTCGACTTATCGACTATGAACCTACTAGGCCAGCCACAGTCCCTAGATGATACAATGAATTTTAATCCATTGGACATGTTTATCCTTAGTTACTATATATTTATAGTTCCTCATCTATCTAATACCCCAGAGATCATATATCGGGCATAGTGCTGTCAGGCCCATGCAGTTTCTACTCGAGTCTCGCTCTAATCAAATTCTCCCGGAGAACTCTTTCTCTCTTAATCCGAATGACCCTTGCTAGAGATTTGTCTGAGCAAGAATATATGGAATATTTCTCTCATGATACCGAGAGCAGATGATTATTTATCGACACTCGATAGCCTTTATAAGGTTGGCTACGACTCCCGATGACCGATTGTGCTAGATCTGGAACTTCCAGGCCTATAAGTCTGGTATTAAAGAGTGGAATACTAATACAAGACATCCTTTGTGTCTTTATTGACTCTCAGATTTTGATGATGAAATTAATTGATAAATTTATGATCTAATATGCGTTTTGAGAGATGTAGGACTAGCTTCGATCATGGAGAGACAATTTAATTAAAGTAGGAAGAATCAATGTTGGGTCGAAGTAGAACATATCAGAAAATTGAATATCGAGCCGAAGGATCGATCGATGTGTCGGTAGAAGGCTTCATGCCATGAGTTTAGGCATCGAGCCAAGAAGATCGGACATTGTGCTAAGAAGATCGGATGTTACGGGAAGACAATATGTTGATTGGGCAATATGTCGAAGGAGAGGATAATGCGTCGAAGGTTCGGACGAAGCGTCGGATGAACCATTGACATGTTAGACAATATGTGATTAATGTTTTATAATAATTATCTAGATTAAAATAGTTTTAGGTCTAATTAGGTTGGTTTATAATGTAATTAGGCTAACTCAATTAGGGGTAAACTAGGCCCGAATTGGGGCTGTTTTGGGTCAAGTGGAAGGCTTATTCGGTGATCCAAAAGTTGGGTCAAGCGGTGGCACCGTCGGTCTAGGTAATGGAACTGCTAGCAGCTCAGTCTTGGAAAATGTGGGGCAACATCACATGTACAGTAGAAGAATAAAAAATAAAATCTCAGAAATCCCGTAGAAAAAGGTTTCTTATCATCGTGCAAAAGTTGGTATGCAAAAACCTACGAAATTAAAAAACTACGCATAAGAGAATTACCTAGCGAGATCATATATCTCTAAATTCCTATAGATACATAGGATTAGATGAAGAAGTTCAAATACCCTCCTCTCTAGTGGTGATTCACATGGTAGGTGCTGTTAAGATGCTTCTCAAATCACTATCCAAAACTCTTCTTTGTGCGCACCACACAATCAAGAAAGGGTTGCCTCTTCTTGCTGTCCACACGCCCCATATAGGGGCTGCAGTATGAGGAGGAGAGGGGGAGAGGATAATAGGAGGTAATAGCAAAAAAGAACCTAACCTGCCATATTGGATATCGTATCTAAATCTAACTACCCAAACCTCTTAGATAAGTAGGTCTCTACCCAATAAACTCTTATTGGCTTTTATTAGATCTCATCCATAGGATTCAATAATTCATGGGTTTATTGGATATCCAATAAGATAGGGACTCTAGCGGATATCTTAGGTTTATTGGATATCCAATAAGATAGGGGCTCCAGCGGATATCTCATATCTGAATCTCTACTCGTCACAACACCTACCATATATGTGTGACCCTCTAGGCCCAATATTAAGCTGGTTGTGAATCATACATATTAAAACTCCTTCTAGCTCAGTGAATTATTATCTCCATAATAATTCACTCGACTCATCAATTGTAAACGTACTAGGCCACTACGCCGTAGTCCCCAAATGATACAAGGGAATCCAATCTATTAGATATATTTATCCTCAATTACCATGTATCTATAGTTCCTCATCCATCTAATACTCTAGAGACTATATATCGGGCATGGTGTTGTTAGGTCCATATGGTTTCTACTCGAGTCTCACTCTAATCAGATTCTCTTGGAAAACTCTTTCTCTCTCAATCCGAATAATCCAAGCTAGAGATTTGTTTAAGAAAGAACATATGAGATATTCCTCTTATGACATTGAGGGTGGATGATCCTCTATCGATACTCAATAGCCCTAGTAAGGTTGGCTACCACTCTTGATGATCAATTATGCTAAATTTGGAACTTCTAGGCCTAAAAGTCTGGTATAAAAAAGTGGAGTACTTATATAGGACATCCTTGGTATCTCAAGTCTAAGAACTAAATATACCACTAGGATTACGAAACCGTTGTTTGACAATAAGGCATCATCAACCATCCAACATTCCGTGAGCGGATCAATTAGTAAACTCATTCTCCAATGAGTATCTGTATTATATCTCTAGTGTCCCCATACGAGTAGATATGAGACCAGCTGTCTCCATCATATAGACGGGTATATAGTACACTAATTTATTCGATTATCCCGATGTCCCTCTCGAGTAATCTATGATTAAGATTATTTAGGGTCCGTGTTTAAAAGTGAATTAGTCTCATTATCATGATCTCATCACGATCCAATTCTCATTGCATAGATCCATAAACATTATAATATATATTCATACAACAAGTAATATAAAATAATAAAATATCAAATAATATAATAAACAAAAAAAATACATGTCATCACTTACACGATTAACTTACAGAATACATTCAAACCTAAGTTAATTGGATTTAAACCTAAGATTTAACTATAGACCTCATTTATATTTTATTTTATTTTTTATCATATTTAATCAGTTTGAAATCGAAATTATAAGATCAGTTCGATTTTGATTCAAATCGAACCATTGCTAGGGCTAGTTTTAAGTAAAAATTCTGCTGCATCGATAAAATATTCCTCCAGGATTCTTTATTGTGGTTTGGCTTATGTGATTGCATTGCTGGCAGGTGTTCCCTGTTTCTTGCAGATTTGATCATCATATGTCAATTGAGGGTGAATATTTATCGTATCATTAAGTTGAAGGCCATTTATTATGGATTGTTGCACCAGTAGTGTTTAAGTTAAAAATTTTATTATATCAAATAACATATATGAAGGTCACAAGTTGACTCCAACATGAAACCTATCAATTTACAATAATACATAAATCTAACTTGGATATCTGGACAGCAATCCTTAGTTAGAAAGTTAAATTCACTAAATATATTTTTATTCATTTCCTTCCATTCACGAATAGATACACTGGCCATATTGTGCAATCCAAAACCCTATAAATCACCACCAAGTCCCAAGGCTCTGCGTCCCACATCAAAGAAATCGTTTGTCATCCTCCGTAGTCCGTCTGTGATATTGAAGACCATGGTTGGTAGAAGCTACATCGCTGCCTTAGCGCTCATCTGCTTGTGCCTCTTCTACCACCTGGAGATCACTGCGGCCACAGAGTTCACCGTAGGAGACTCTGCTGGTTGGAGCTTTAACGTCCAGAACTGGCCCAACGGCAAAAGCTTCAAAGCAGGCGACGTCCTCGGTATCATCCACATCCTTCCTCCTCCATCTTTATCGTCTTGATTCTGTGGGAGCATTTGCATGTGTTTGATATTCTTATGTGGAAACGTGTGCATGCAGTGTTCAAATACGGGCTGGGAACGCATAACGTGGTGGTGGTCGATGCCGAAGGCTATAATAGCTGCAAACCCAAGTCTGACTCCAAGACCTACACATCTGGAAACGACAAGATCACTCTGGCTGCAGGAACCAGTTATTTCATCTGCTCCTATCCTGGTCACTGTGAGGCCGGCGTGAAGATTAAAGTTACTGCAAGCTAAGCTTAGCCGACAATGTTGCTTGTAAGGCTGACTTCCAATAATAAATAAGACACATCTTGTTTGACACTGTCGCATTTGACAGGAAGATAAAGTTTATCTAACACAAAGAATACATTATACTTTCCATTAATACGATTCTTCGGCGCATCGTCCTCTCTTGCGGCCTATTGCTCAATCGATTAGTTGACCTCCACAACTTTGATTTTTTTGACATAATTTTCGCTCTTCTTGGCCTGATGCCCGATCCCATGGCCCGAGGACTTCTGTCGATACGTTGATCGATCCTCTGGATCGACGTCCAATCTTCTGACATATTGTACTTCGGCCCAACATGATTTTTCCTGCTTTAGTTATCTCTCACTGATCAAAGCTAGTCCTGCTGTCATGGACTTAGCTGGTTTTGCCTAAGTTGTGCGGCACCCTTGCATGTCCGTCCGCAAAGGTCAGCCTCCCCGAAGCCTCCCATGTCCGTTAGGACCCACAAAAGAGAGAACGGGTTAGAGAAAACGCCTCATTCGGTATCCACAAGCAAACATTTTCGAAAACACTTCATAGACAATGTAAATTACAAACAGACTTTACAAGCTCTGAACAGTTGCACAACAAAGGGTAAAATGGTCCACTATAGACCGAACTAAAATGAGACTATTAAGCCTTTGGCTATCCCTCTACATGCTAGTCAAAGTATGAATATACCAAAAGACACGGACATACATAACCATTACATCAAACATCATGTTTCGAAGTTTGTCCGTGACACTACGTCACTCAAAACACAGATTAGATCATAAATACTATCAATTGGTTTCGTCATCAAAATCTGAGATTCAACAATAAAAATTATATTTTTATTTTTAAAATTAAAAAATTAGACGTATAACTATAATAAACGTAATGACTTAAAAAAGTTAATATAAAAAAATTAAAATTATAAAATTTTCAGTAAAACTAAATGACTCTATCTAAATTCAAAACTAAGTTAATTAGCACTTTAAACCTAAGATTTAACCACTATACGATAGACCTTATATTATATTTTATTTTTATTTTTTTATCATATTTAATCAGTTTGAAATCAAAATCGTAAAGTCAATTTGGTTCCTGTTCAAATCAAACCATGGTTAGGGCTATACTATAAATATTAATTGACCTCAGTAACTATGGTTTGATGAGCTTTTATAGTAAGTTTGAAATAAGAAAATATTCTTTTATATGGATGTTAGTGAACAAAAGTACCGTGGCTGGTGAGTCAGTATGGTTAGGTCCACAAGCTGATGTTGGGAGCTTCTTGCGAAGTGAGCGGGATGATGAGGTGGGCGCGTCCTCGGGAAGAATGCTGGTTGGCGTCGATCGGGATCCCGGGCCAGTTCACTGCTCTCCCTCGTGCGATGGGAGGTGTTTCTTGGGTCGAGATGCTCGCCGCTCAAGGGTGGCCGTTTCGAGGTGGCTCGGGTAAGAGTCGAGCTGGCGGGGTTGACTGGGCCCTCATGAGAGGATGTTGACCAGCGTTCCTCGGTCTGCTGACCCGGGCACCGTTTGTGATGGGTCGTGTCTATTCGACTCTAAGGTGAATGGCAGTGCATCCTCATGCACTGGATGGCGATTCCGGGTTGAGACACTCGCCTCTCGGGGGTGGCCGCCTTCCTATAAAAATGGCCTTTGTCGGGTGCTCCCTGACTTTGGCTCCTTTGACGAGCAAGTCAGTAGAGTGTTTTTATCTCGATCTTATTTTTCTCCCCCTTGGCCGAGTGTCAGCCAAGGGTTTTTATACTGTCGTGCGAGGATTGATTGCTCCTCAGTTTGGTGTGGTCGCTGACCTTTATGGGATAGAACAGCTTCTCTAATGAGTTGACATCTTTGGGGGTGCTTGAGCGACGTCAGACAGCATCGCCCCGAGCTCTCGGGATAGTCATGTCATATAGTGTCTCGGTACAGAACCCGACGTGGCGTGCACCATGGGGTTCCGATGGTGCGTGGCATCGGATTCTGACATTGGTTGGGATGTGGCATGTGACGTCGATGGTGACTCATCCGGGGACCAAAATATGCCTTATCACTTCTCCGCCCCCCCACCCCAAGGCATGCTGCTGGGTCCCTAATGGACCGGGAGTTATGCCTGGGGCCGAGGGACACGATTGTGCTAGCCGCTTGCGCGGGAGAGCTGGATTGGCTCGTCACGGGGTGATTTAGAGGGGTGGTGCCCCATGATTCGGGTAGGACCGACCCTACTGATCGAACAGTAGGGGCCTAACGAGGCAAAATTGAAGTGTTGACGCCAGTGAGTCGAGGCCCATGCGGTGAACCTTACGTGTCTTAGTTCAGATGATGGGTTTCGTATGGCTCGGAGTTACGGCTTGTCACGAACGGTCATCGCGCACCTGCAATAACTCCATTCAAAGAACCGTTCATTGCTCTCATCTACATGTACAGCTGCTTGGCAGCATGTTTTGTCTTGGTTTTGAGTCATTTTGCTTGTAAAAATATAAGTTTGAACAAGTTGTAGTGCTACAAAGTGACTGCTCATCGAACCGAGCAAAATAACCCCAAAACAGCCCAAAATAGCTCCATTTTTATGTGCCACAGGCTATTTTCTATAGTCTGCTTCTACTCACCAAAACGTCAGCCATCTCAGCCCCTTGGAATCCCCTAGGTGGCACAAGGCTGGATGGGGCTTCGGTATAGTGTCGGGCATTGAACAACCTTTCGCAAGTTCGTACGTTACCTTGACGGGAATTTATTGTCGCGCCCGGCACCCGGTGAGCAGCTGTTTATGGACTTACAGCTGTTCGTTCAACCCTTTAAAGTCCTTATTTTTCCTCTCTCCCTCGTTTCTCTTGTGCACGCAAGGTGCTCACTAAATTGCTTGTAAAGCTTCCCCTTTTCATGAGACATCGGGACTTGTCCGTCACTCGTTCTTTCGAACTAATCAACTTTCTCTTTTACAGGTCCTTCGGGACCTACGAGAGGTTGCAAGTGGGCTGATCTTTGTGGAGCAATATCGCAAGGGCAAAGTGCGACATAGGTAATGCAAGCTAAGTTCGTGTCTTTGCCGAAAGGGTGCCTCGCGACTTAGGCAACCCAACCTAAGTTCGCGTCTTGGCCATAAGGGTGCCTCACGCCTTAGGCAATTCCAGCTAAGGTCGTGACATTGTGGTATCAAAGTGGGCAAGCACTTCGAGCGAGCAGTGAAGGAACTTCGCAACTTCACCATGGCAAAACATCATGGCAAATCAAGCAAGACGAGGCAAGCCGGACCCTTGCCCCAAGCAGCCGCAGGTGGGCTGCATGTGCACACTTACTCTCATGCTATTGGAGCTGCTCAAGAGGAGCGTGGTAGCGAACATGATGAGCGAGAAGTTGGCTACTCTCCGCGAGCGAAGGAGGCACAATCTGGAGCGCCAACCGGGAAAAAGAGTCATAAGGAGAGACTCACAACGGCGGAAACCCGCTTGGATGTTCTTGAAGCGAGCTTAGAGGAACTCTACCATGGCCAACAAATGCTTATTAGGGTAGAAAGCTCGTAAGAGGAAGCAGAGTCTAGGATCGACAAGGTCGAGGCCCTAGTTGACTGACTGTCAGATGATACTAAAGACTCCATGCAACACCTGCAGGAAGTTGTGGCGGAACTCACTTCAAGGATGGCCATGCTTAAAAGAGCACTAAATGCGGGAGGAAGCAACACCCACGTTGCACCACCACAAAACTTGAGGGCACCCGAGCCTCATGGTTATGGAGGGGCTAGAGATGCCAAAGAGCTCGAAAATTTTCTATTCGACATGGAACAATACTTTCGAGCTACGAGTCCCGATTCCGAAGATACCAAAGTTTCTATAGCAACAATGTATCTGAACGGAGATGTAAAACTTTGGTGGTGAACCCATTGGGAGGAGATCCAATAAGGTCGGTGTTAGGTTGATACATGGAAGGACTTGAAGCGGGAGTTGAGAACTCAATTCCTACCGGAGAACATAGAGTTTGTCGCAAGAAGGAAGTTGAGACAACTCTGCCAGAGTACTTCCATTCGAGACTATGTGAAATAATTTTCTGTGTTAATGCTGGACATACAGGACATGTCCGAGAAGGATAAGCTGTTCAGCTTCCTCAATGGTTTGAAGCCATAGGCTCAATAAGAACTAAATCGAAGGAATGTCACCGATGTGGTCGGGGCAATTTCTGCTGCAGAAAAGCTCATCGACTTTATTTCCTCCGAAGACTCGGGAAGAAGGAAACAATCTTCAGGCAATCGCCCTCCAAAGTATTCTTGAGGGAAGGAGCTCAGGGGTGAACAAAGGAAGAAGAGTTCCCACAAAGGGCCAAGCCCGAAAGGCAAGGCCCCAAAACCTGGATGATGCTTCTTGTGCGGAGGGTCGCACATGGTGAGAGAGTGCCCACAAAAATAGGCACTCAATGCTTTAACAACTTCCATCCATCCCCCCCGATCGGACAAGGGCAAAGCTGTCGCTCTTAGTTCGAACAGTTCTAAATCCAGTAACGATGACGAGGAGTTGCAAGGACCCTAGATGGGAGCAATGCGTTTGTTGAATGTCATGCGAAGTCAAGTGGGGGAGAGCACAAAGACAAAGCTACAAAAAGCAAAAAGTGGTGAACTGATGTATGTAGACATCAAGCTAAATGGCCAAACGACCTGTGCAATGGTGGACATGGGTGCTACCCACAACTTCATTGTCGATCGAGAAGCAAAGCGACTTGGGTTGATCTTGGAGAAGAGCCTAAGTCGAATGTGTAGGGAAGAAACCTGTTAATGCGGAATAATTCTTTTCCCTCTTTGTGTATCAAAATAGGTTCCTCATCAAAATACCAACTTGATATCAAAATGCTAATATCAATCAGCACAGCATAAACAATAGTGCAATAAATCAATCACACAGTGAGACCAAATCTTTTTAACGTGAAAAACCCAATGTGGGAAAAACCACGGGACCGTAGTCCACCTCAAACTTCCACTATCAATAATAATGATAACAGGTTTACAGTAGGTC